CCCCTGATGTCTCCATAAAGAGGACCTGTCACCTCTTTTGCTATCACATAAGGGGGTTTCTCAGCCCCCTCTGTGATAGCAATAAAGTTAAATGAAAAAAAAAAAAATAGTACAAAAATTTAAAGTTCCCCCCCCAATTTTTTTAAAGTTACACAAAAAAGAATTTAAAAAAAACTATTTTTTTTTTAAAAGTCCCCACCCCTACATACACGCATGTATCACGCATGTATACACGCATCAGGTGCGCATACCTGCGAAAACGACGATTGCACCCATTATGCCGCACATGTTACATATCGCCGCGAACGTCAGAGTGAGAGCAATAGTTCTAGGGCCATCAATCACTGATAACACTAAACTGATGAGCAGTAAAAGCTTTTAAAGCGTCGCCCATGGCCAATTTTGGGTATGCTAGTTTTTTGCGATTTTGCGAGTGCGCGCAATTTTTACGCTTGACATGTTTGGTGTCTATTTACCCGACGTGACCCCGTCTTTTATATTTTACCAAAAAAGTGGGTAATATTAGTTGTTTTATAGCATAATGTAAAAAAAAACTTTTTTTTCTCAACATTTTCAGTAATTTCTCCTGAATATAGTAAAAAATAAAACCCGCAGTGGTGATTAAATACCACCAAAAGAAAGCTCTATCTGTCCCCAAAAAATGGTATAAAATTCATTTCAGTACAGCGTTGCGTGACGGAATAAATGTCAGTCAAAGTACCGCAGCGCTGAACACTGAAAATGGCCTGGCCAGGTAGGGGATCTAAACACCTGGTCTTCAAGCAGTTAACAATGAAGTGCACCACATTGCACATGATATGCATCGTGATGTACTGGGCTCTACTGTACAATGCATTGGGGGGACCAATCACCATGAATGGCACCGCAACATACAGCACATAGAGGAGGTATGTTGACATTTGTTCTGGCAATGCATGTTAACACACACACACACACGTTTTAGCCTCACTGCACGTGTGTGAATGGTCCCCTCCCCTTTCCAGCACCTCACTATTGGCCATTGAGTCCATCCATGATGGGCCAATAGCGAAGCAGGTGGAGGTGAGGGGAGGAATATCCCGAGGTTTTTAGCTATTAGTAAGGTGGGAGGAAAAAGACAATCACTATGAAATGTGACCTTTACGGTCCAAACTATGACCTTGGTTACAATGTATTGAGATACTACGCTGTTTGGTGTTACCTCTTTTTCCTTCCCCAGTGCGTCCTGCTTCTCGTGCAGTTTGGTCAGCTCGAATGCCAAGGTGTCCGCTCTCTTACTTTCCAGGGAAAGTTTGGTGTGGAGATCCTGGACCTTTACAGAGATGGGAAATGACAGAACGGGTGAGGAGATGCAGGAGAATGGGACAAACTTACTGTATGTAGGCTCTAAGATGGTCAGGAACCTGTCTATGGATACATATGAGGGCTGCCACTTCCACCATGGCTTTGAAACGTGTGGATTCCAAGACTGTCCTCTTCACCTTCCCTCACGCTTTCTTTCCCTCTTTCTTTTTAATTATTTTCTTCCCTATGTGTCTCCCCTCTTTCCCTTCTGACCTTGACATCCCTACTATACCTCCTGCCCCTACCCCACCTTTCCTCCAACCTTCCTATATGCCATACTCACCCAAACTGCCCTACCCCCACTATACAATCTATATAGTTCTGAGACTCCTCCTCTGGGAGACCCCCACCCCATCCCACCCACAGACATCTACTGTACACCACCATGAGACACCACAGAACCTACCCTGCCTCACCACTCACATTGAGTCCCTAATCCCACTCCTCCTCAACTTGCCCCTCCTTCCACCCCCAAGTCAACCTTTTGCACTATTAGAACATTGTACTGAATGTATTTGTAGAACATTGTTGCAATAATCTGCTGGATCGTCCTCTTGCGCTGGTTAATGATACACTTTGTATACATTAAAATCTATAACATTCTAAAAATGAAAACTTTTGGAATCCTGAACCTTTGGTTTCTGCACACTGAGTGAGCACTCCAGTGTTGACCCATGTTACCTCTGAACCCCCTTTAAAGTCACTGTGCTCCAAAGCATGGACTAAGGATCCAATTTTGGATCCAGTGGCTCTCATCTTTTCAATTTCCTTTCAATGGACAAATTGTATGGAAGTTCCCAATTTATTGACCAGTCTTAGCTTTACAATCAGCTGAATTCTGGTGACTAGACATGCGCACTGGCATAAAATTTGTTTTGTTTCGTATTTTGCGTTATTTCGTTTTTCGTGTCCCAAAGTCAATTCGTTTCGGGATTTGGATGAAATTCGTTAGCGGCAGTCTGTACCAACAGAAAAGTGACATTAAAAATTATTATTTTATATTTTTTAGTCTGCAGAAGAGAAAAAAAAGAAAAGCGTGTGGTTCCCCCCCAATTGATACCAGGCCCTTTAGTCTGGTAGGAATGTTAGGAGAGACTACCCCTCCCCCTCCCCCCAAGTTAAAAAATAAATAAATGCGTAGGATTGCCCCAAAATCCATACCAGGCCCTTTAGGTATGGTAGGAATTTTAAGGGGGAACCACAACCCCAAAAAATGGGGGGGATGTGGGGTCCCTCCTAACATTCCTACCAAACTAAAGGGTCTGGTATCAATTTTTTTCTCTTCTGCAGACTGAAAAAAAACATTTAGGCTCCATTCACACTTGGCGATATCGCGCAAATGCTTGCATTGAAAAGCATTGAATCGCGCGCAAAATCCGCTCCAAAAAGGGTCCTGCTGTAGCGACACACGACCCGCGACAGCAGGACCCTTTGCCCCATTGCAAAGCATTGAAGAGCGATATCGCGCGGTAAATAGCCGTGATATCGCGGGAATTACCGCGCGACAAATCGCTCAATGTGAACGGGGCCTAAATGTCACTTTGCTGCAACGAAAAGTCGTCCACAAACGAAAATTCGTACAGAGTACCGCTAACAAATTTCGTCCGAAATTATGTTTTCATTCGTCATTTCTGTTATTCGGAAATTTTTCCGAAACGAATCGCACATGTCTACTGGTGACTGACAACTTGTGGGTAGGGGATTGCTTAGTTTTTGGGGAATATTATTGATCGTCTGTGCGATTCCCGGTGGATACAAAGTGGTTACAATTGACTTATGTGTACGGTCAGATTGAGTGTCGCAGGCCACCTTGTAGCCACGTGACCAGAGATTTTCCTACCTGCCGTTTGTAGGTCTCCAGCTGAGTGCGGGTGGCGTTGGCTTTCTTCAGATCCTCCTCCAGGCTCACCGTATTGTGCATGTACATTAAATTTGTGTCCTCCAGGGTCTTCACTTGTTTTCGTAGGTCATTGAGGTCCTCCAGTTTCTTGCGGTACGTTTCTAAGGTGGATTCTAGCTTGGTGGCTTTATCTGCCGTCACTCTAAAAGATAAAAAAAAAAGTCAAGCCAATGAAACTTCAACCAAGCAAAATGTATATTACTTTATGGCTTGCTGTGAATGTGACATCCGCCAGATATTCACCGGGCGCACATTGGTCCTTTATCAGTCATTTGGGCCCGGTTCACACCTGGGCGTTTTGTAGCGCCTTCCTACGCTCTGCAAAACGCTCAAACACCGAAATCCCATTATTTCCTATGGGTATGGTTCACACCTGGGCGTATTACAGGCCATATGAACGCGCTGCAAAACGCCCTACGCCCAAAGAAGTACAGGAGCTTCTTTGGGGCGTATTTGCCGCGCGTATCCATTGGGATACAGCCAGGTAACCCTCGGAAACGCGCGTTTGTCGCGCAGGTTTTTTACAGCGAATCGCAGTAAAAACGCACGGCACGAAACGCGCGACAAACGCGGATATGCGATACGCCTAGGTGTGAACCCAGCCTTAAAGTCCATCTCTAAACAGCTTCTCAAATAATTGCTCCTTGTTGAGGGTCCCTCTTATTTACTCTTACTTACCTTGCCCCAACGTTTTGTTCATCTTCTTAGCTTTTCAGGTCATCATAGGGGCGCAAATGATTCTTTAGCTACTGGAGGAGCCAGGACGAGGTGTCCACAGGGGGGCATAAGTGGGTTGGGGTATAGAGGGGGCAAAGTTATGCAGAGCAGGGTCCTCGGCAGACATTTATTTCATGTATTTATATTACGCCATCAAGTTGCACAGCGCTATACATACTTTACTGTACACACATACACTGGAGTGTGTAGGGAACTGGCGGACCTGGAGGAAACCCATGCAAGCACAGTAACAATATGCAAACTCTATGCAGATAGTGTCCTACTTGGGGTTCAAAACGAGGACCCCAGTGCTAGAGGGCCGGAGTGATAACCATTAACCATCGTAGCTTGTATGCACGAGCTCCTGACCCACATTAGAACTGCAGAGGAGGTGGTGACAGTGACCGGTCACATTGCTCACAGGAAGCAGCCAGCGGTGACCAGTCTTTATAAATGGAAATGGGGGCCCTAAGAATCATCCTGCAGGGTAGATGATTCTGCAATGCACTGCTGCCAATCTGCTGGAAGGAGCTCTGACAGCATCGCACAGATGGTCCACATGTCTGTCCACCTAGAGGAGAGGATCGGCCCTCTGCAGGTCAGCACTTGTGGAAAGGATGTCAAGTATGGAAAAGGTATTGGGCCCGCCGTTATTTTATTTTGAACCAGTGCCCTCTGTGTTGTACACAATATAATCTGAAGTGCTTTATGTTACATATTGTGGACCCCTGCACTCTGTATGCCATGTTGCATGTTGCATATTCCACAATGCTGCATTCTACACCACGCTGCAGGTTACGTACTCTGGACTGTTACATTCTGTACATAACATATTGCAGAGCAGCGCACATTGTACACTGTTTTTGCACGTTACATACTACTGACCCTTGCACTCTGTATGCTCTACTGTACATTACATATGCCTGACCCTGCAATCTATACACTATGCTGTATGTTACATACTCTGGTCCAATGCGCTGCACATTACGTACCATAAACCTCTGCACATCAGCCTATATGTTACATATTGCAGACTGCTCCAAAACGTTTGCTGTTCTGTACACCACACACAGAGGACCCCAACACTCTGCATGCTGTTCTGTACACTACACACAGAGGACCCCAACACTCTGCATGCTGTGCTGTACACTACACACAGAGGACCCCGACACTCTGCATGCTGTGCTGTACACTACACACAGAGGACCCCAACACTCTGTTCTGTACACTACACACAGAGGACCCCAACACTCTGTTCTGTACACTACACACAGAGGACTCCAACACGCTGCATGCTTTTCTGTACACTACACACAGAGGACCCCAACACTCTGCATGCTGTGCTGTACAATACATACCCAGGACCGCTGCAGTCTGCTCAGTATTCTATATATTATGTACCCCAGACCATTGTGCTCTCTAAGCTGTGTTGTACATCTCTAAGAATTTGTTTTTGGAATTCATCTCTTTACAATCCCATTCTGATGTACCTGAGAACATCCATTTCATCTTTTAAAGCCCTCGACTCCTCAGCTAGACTGGCCAGCTCAACACTGCGATTCTGCGTCTCAATCAGCTGTTTCTCCAACTCCTCGCAGTGAACCCGATAATCATCCTTTGCCGCTTCCAGCCTGCAAGACACAGAAAGATTAATATGCAAGAGTGTGTCTGTTAGTTATGGCATCCAATATGGCGCTGGGACAGTGCTCTAAGTGTTCGGTGCTCTTGGGCACAGTGTGAGTCCATAAAAGACTACCAGCTCCATTGTAAAGGTGCCCATACACCTTACGATTATCGGACTAAACTTTTCGTCCGATGATCGAATAGTCGTACGATTTTCGTACGGCAGCCCCATCCTGCCCCGATGATCGCAAGAATCATTTAGCCGTAATTAACCAAAAGCACCTGGACGAAATGCGGTAATTGATTTGCCGTATTTTCGTTAGTGCAAGCGCAGTGTACATCGTACGACTTTTGACGGACGGAAACGCCAGCAACCTTACGACAATCGTACCATCGAGCAAAGTTTTCAAACATGCTTGACCGTCAAAAGTCGTACGATTGTACAGTATTGTCGGTCGGACACTGCAATGCACACATACGATTATCGGACGAAAAGTCGATCGCATACGATAATCGTAAGGTGTATGGGCACCTTAAGTGACAGTTTATTAGGATGGAAAGTCTAGCTGTAACTTTCCACATAACTGAAAACTTATAACAGGCAAAGGGGATTACTTGTATCAGAACTGCCCTTTGCTCTGCTTTTCTTTGTGTGTGTTTTATATTATGCTTTGCTGCACCATCTTGGAATCAAGATACAAACACCTTCAAATAAAAGTTTAGTGCAATGGTGGCCAACTTTCCTGATATAGGGGGGCTCAAATGCAAGTCAACACATCGTCAAAGGGCCACCAATATTACTCAGTGAATGTAATGCTACAGGAGATGGTGAAAGACTGCAGACATGCAAAAGGAGATGGTCAAAGGCCGTAGACATACAACAGGAGATGGTCAAAGGCTGTAGACATACTATGAGAGATGGTCAGAAACTGCAGACACACTACGGGAGAAGGACCGAGACTGCAGACAAACTACAGAAGATGGGTCAGAAACTGCATGCATGCTACAGAAGTTCTTGGAGATTGGGGACCTGCTTTTGGAAACAGTCATAGACATAGACAGTCAGACACTTTACATGAGGCTATTGGAGATCACTATCATTACACCCCTTGACAAATCAACGCTTCAACATTTGTGCTCCCTACAGCCCCCTGGGGCTCAAATCACTATGGACCCCGTCTGCCAGTATGTCCGTACCTGTAATTTTCTTCCTGTAGCTGCTCCAGCTGGATCTGGAAATATTTTTTGGCTGCCATATTGGTCGGTTCTTCGAAGGAATCTAATTGGTTTAGCCGTTCGTTCTGCACTTCGTTTTCGGCCAATAAGCTGTTTCTTTCCTCTTGAAGTCCCGCCACCTGGTGAAGGAGACCAGAATAGAACTAGATGTAGTATAACAGGTACATGTTCTAAATATGTATTTACAAGTTTACAAACTTCTAGATGGATCTGGTTATTAGGAATGGGATAGAACTTATTGACATTCAATATAGCAGTACAGATTTATTTTTAGTTCTTGACCATAGACACCCTTTAATCCTGTGAAGCCTCAGACAGTATGCACCCCTAACCAATCCCACATGTAGTATGTGCTTTATATAATGTCAACACAAAAAGGATAAGATCACATACTGTACATGTGACATAAACATCAATCAATGATCCAGTGTGACCCAACTGACACTTCTTCAGCTCCTATGAGTGTCAGGAACATCCACCAACACTTCTTTGCTCACGGGTAGATCAGACACCTTGATCGAATCACCATGGAATGTGTAGATGGTGATTGTCCAAGAACAGGATGAGAGGCATGAAAGTTGTGGCACTCCTCGCCCATTCTAGTTACATAATTCAACCCTTGGTGTCAAGAAGTCTGTGTAGGTGTTAATCATGCGATTCACATGGCTGAAGGTGTAAATTGTTGTCAAATGTCTGGGGTAGAGACATTAAAATGGCATTATATTTAGAAGATAGATGGTGTTGAAGAACCCAACCTCTGTTCAGAGATGGTTGTTCAAGTTTGATGAAGATGACCTCTTTTACGCCTCTGGTGAACCAATTGTCCCCTCCATTGAAAGAATGTCCCTTTGACTCAAGGTGATTGTAGCCGTATTAGTAAACTTGCAACAGTACAGTTGAGTTCAGTCCATGATACTTTTTTTTTTGTAGTATCAGTTACATTTTCAGGTCAAGCTTTCCTCTTCTTCACAGTCCAAGAAGTACTGATGCCAACCCGCTTGGACTGAGAAGAAGGTGGTAGACGCTTCCAAAGCTGATCCTGCAAAATGTAACTTGTTACTGCAAATAGAAAAAAGTACTCTCATGGACAGAACTCAAAAGTTTGACTTGGAAGATTCGGTATAGCGGACGTGACCACACAAAGATGTGCTGAATTTATAACTGTATCCGTTTGCTTTGGAGGTACTAAGGTGGCTCTAAAAATAGCCTCGTACCGGATTGCCAAGAGGACACAGAAGGTTGCAGAATAAGAGTGCATGAGAGTTCTGGGCAGACATGCAACCAGCTGCAGATACAACACGCTGACAACTCCTTACAGACCGGGGAGATTAATAAAAAAGCTAAACCTGATCATACACTGGTAGACTTTCATACGAATGTTCATAAGAGATACCTGGTCAGAACATTCGATAATGCCATCAGAGACATGACGGACGTCCCTTGAAATTTTGTTTGATTTTAACATTCAATTTTGGAATAAGTGGAACTTCCTGAACAGGGCTATCATTACAGATCATGGGGCCCCATAGCACAAATGTGATGGGGGCCCCCCTAACGACCTCTCTCTGAGTTGTGAGTAATGATGCCAAGATCCCACAGACTCCTGTTGTGCATCTGAAGTCGTCTCTAGACTTTACAGGGGATTAGAGTTGTCTTCAACTGCAACCACTCCAACCCTTAGGCTGGGTTCACACCTAGGTGTATCGAATATGCGCGTTTGTTGCGCGTTTTTCTCGCGATTTCCTGTTAAAAAAACGCGCAACAAACACGCGTTTCCGAGGGCTACCTGGCTGTATCCCAATGGATATGCGCGGCAAATACGCTCCAAAGAAGCTCCTGTACTTCTTTGGGCGTAGGGCGTTTTGTAGCGCGTTCATACAGCCTGTAATATGCCCAGGTGTGAACCATACCCATAGGAAATAATGGGATTTCGGTGTTTGAGCGTTTTGCAGAGCGTAGGAACGTGCTACAAAACGCCCAGGTGTGAGCCAGGCCTTAATGACACAGTACTGTGATATCTTCACATGTTTAATTTGCCTCAACAACCTAAGGGGGCCCCCCAGCCCCATAGCAGCAGCCTGGGCTGCTATGGCTATAGTTACGCCACTGTTCCAGAAGCAAAGCCACATTCGCTATTAAAATGTTCTTCCTTCAAGGAAAATGTTTCATCCCGCTCGTTTGATTTGGTTTTCGTCAATGCGGTAGAACACGATCGTCAATTTGACCCCCATTAACTATCAGGGGGTGGGAAAAGGAGGGGGGGGGGGTTTAAATGACTTTTTTCCTCTTTCCTGGCAATATTTAGGGATTTGGTTCTTTCTTCCTCTAGAGCTGTGAGAAGACGAACATGTTGTACATCAGTCAGAGAAGCAGCTAATTAAATGAAATGTAAAGCCGTACTTCAAACCCTGGGGCTTTGATCTCAGATTCAGCCGGTTGATGGAAAGGCCAGTTGTATAACCACCGTGGGTGTTCTTATGTAAGGGTTAATCTTATAAAACCTGCAGCAATGGACAGGGCCGCGGACCGCTCCAAGGGCAGCAAATACAAAGTGATTGATCTGGCAGGATGTGTGGGAGCAAGGCCAGCGGTATTGGCCAATGTGATCATAACTCCTGATATCCATGTTACTTATTAACCAGACGCTCAAACAACTACATTATCTTAATATATGCAATGAGTACAGTGTACACATAGATTGTGAAAAAGAGAGACCAGGAAGCTCATAGCCCACTAACAGTGCAGGATTTCCATCACTGCCAGGTAGCAGCACATCTGTGTTAGGTTCCATTACCACTTCCGCGGTATAATACTGGCATAGTAGCAATCATCAATGTACCGTGGCATTAAATATATTTTAGTTTCTGTTCCCTGGGGATCTATGAGAACTTTTTTTGTTTTAAGTTGAAGTGAAGTTCCTGTGGGTACTGCAGAGACCACAGAAATAAACAGAAGCAAGGCATGTCTACTTTGTTGCTTCAATGCATGGAGAAGGAAGTCATACCCTCCAGGCCGCTTCTTCAAAAATGTATACAAAAACCCGTTGGATATGCGCATCACGTTACCACATAGGCGCATAGAAAAATGTGCATTGAAATGCAGGTAGATGCAGAAGTGTCATTGGAGCTTTAAACCCAATCACTAAAAACCTCATATAAGCTTTAACATGTTGAAGAAAGGTTGCCAAACCCCGGCAAACATGGCCAGAGGGGCACCTGATACTGTTTGCGCTGGCACCTGTGTCACTGGTTCTCATTCACAGCTGTTAATTACAAGGCCTGGCCCAACCGCAGCATTTATGTCACTGAAAGCTTGCTGGCAGCTGAGGGCATTGGCATGCCTTACTGGAAAAAGACTGCCTGCATCCCTACAGCGGCACCCTGCACTACTAAAGGTACAGGGTTTGGACTGGTCTGAGGTGAAATGCATGCATTGAGGCTGATCTGAGGTCTGAAGTTTATACATTGGGGTTGATCCGAGGTCTGTAATGCATGCATTGAGGCTGATGTGAGCACTGAAGTGCATACATTGGGACTGATCTGAGGTCTGAGATGCATGCACTGGTGTTGATCTGAGGTCTGTAACACATGCATTGGGGCTGTCCCGAGATGCATGCATTGGTGTTGATCTGGGGTCCGTAATGCATGCCATGGGGCTGTTCTGAGGTCTGCATGCATCAGTGTTGATCTGAGGTCTGTAATGCATGCATTGTGGCTGATTTGGGGGGTCTGAAGTGCACGCATCGGGACTAATCTGAAGATAGCACTGCTTACAAGGGGTTTATATGAGGTTAGCAGTGCATGCATTGGGAGTTATCTGAGCTCTGTAGTGCAGGCATTGAGGCTGATCTGAGATCTAAGGTGCATGCATTGGGGCTGAACATGTTTTGCATGTGCACCAGTTAATCAATTTTTGCACGTATAGTTGTAGTGCTAATTGCAAGTTAAACTTGTGAAATGATATACAATATTTAATGAGTTTAGTTTGCCATTAGCAGTACAACTATTAGTGCAAAAATTTAAAACTAAAGCTGACCATACGCGGTTATATTTCCCTCGATCTCCTGATCAAGGGATGCCGAGTGGAAGGGTGCTGTTAGGGACACCCACTTTCTGTGCCATTTCAATCAAGATTAAATTGCTAACAGGTTGTCCTCACCTGGAGGTCCAGCTCCTGACACCTCTGCTTCAGCTCCTCTTTCTCAGCTTCTGCTTCCTGAAGTAATTCCATTGTCCTCTTCAGCTGTAATGCAGATGGGCAATACAACAATATTAACAGTATGTCTAGGGGTAACAAAACAATAGTGTACAGCCTTTGTAATAATAACTCGGTTTACTTTAAAAGGGAAGGAAAGGAAGTAAAAAGGAAGGAGGGAACTATACTCCTTGCCAAACTGATATCTGTTTTGATACCTTTAACTCCAACATGCGCGTGCAACCCAATTTAATTTGAGTCCCATAAACCTGCAGTCCTCCGACATGGAGATCCTACTCTGAGATGCTGATTTGACCGAGATACATTCCAGAACTTATCAGGCCTTATAGTGTCATGTTATCCCGGACACATCCCTCTGCTGTCATGATTGTTCCTGTCCTCCTATGGGAACAGGTGGACCCCTCCATGGTTCTTGGGCCCTATGCCCGCAGTCATGTTAAGTATTGTTTTTGTTTTCATGCCGTACCCACACCAGTGTCTGACTGTTCTTTTAGGTTGTATCCGTATGTATATGTTGTTCCCCCATCATCTTTTGGGGGAAACTGTAATAGTCAAAAAAGAATTGATAAAAAGAATAAATACCGTTAGCTTCTGCCCAGCAACCATTGTGAAGTTCTACACAAGGACAGAGGAGAGCAAAAAATGCAAATGACTGCATGCCTAAAAATAACAACTGGCACCTATACCTTACTTAGGCACTCGGTGATCATGCCATGAAGGTCCTTGTTCAGGTACTTCCTGGTTTGGAAGGACAACTGTCTCCCTATTGTCCTTCTGTGTTGTCACCATGTCAGATGCGCCTCCAGGGGGGACTACAAGCACTCATGCTGACTAGTGATGGGCTCGGGCGTGTTCGCAGCTCCACGTGCCGAGCCCGCCAGGAAGCTGACAGCGCCAATCACAGGTACTGGGACATGTTCCCGGTCCGCAGCTGCAGAGATCGGGAAATGTCTCAGTGCCTGTGATTGGCGATGCAGGCTCGGCACGTGGAGCTGCGAACCCGCCCGAGCTCATCACTAATGCTGACATGCATTTAGCAGGCATGGTCCACTGCTTAATGTCACCATCAGGAAATGGCAAACAGCTATTGCATATCATCCAGTCAGTATTGACATCTGCCATAAAATAACTCTTGCCTCTCAGTGATCTGACCCCAGTGACCAGTCATTTAGTGCAGGCGCTTCTATTTCAGATGGCTTCATCAAACATAATAAAGGTTTTATGAAGGCAGACAGTTCAAATACGGCACCGGACAGGCAGGTACACACAGCGGGATGCAGCCCTGTGTGTCTGGGTGACTCAGACATATGTATTAAATCCTATGCATACACAGCCATGGACGAGTCCCTGTGTGGAGTGGGTAGGAATTAGTTCTGGGTGAGGCAGAGTCGGGGAGTGGTGACGATTCCGCCAATAAGTCATTACAACAAAACTAGTTTTATCACAATTAGCCATTGACAATGAAGTAGACACAATATATGATTCATAGCAATTGTGCACATATAATAGATACCTGTTGGTTTAAATCTGAGCTCTGGCCTTCCCTTCCCGGCTCCTCTCCTGGACTGGAAGTGCTTGCTCTAATTTCACTGCACACTGGGAGATTCTCACAACGTGCATTAGATGCTTTTTAAAGCCCAGCACAGGGTTCAGCGTAGTTAACCTTCCCCCCTTTGGTCCCCCTTTGGCTATTTTATGCTTACTTTTTTCCAAGTCTTCAGGCTGGTTATGTGAGTCCACTTCATAGCCACTACTTCTCCAGGATGGGCGATCCTTACCGATGCAGACAGAGGCCCCGATGTGATGATGTCAGCGCCACTATCTGCACCATTACACTGTGGTTGTAGAGCACCATGAACCCTGCCTGGGTCTACAATGCCATTCCATGGCCCCTGCCTGGGTCTACGATACCCTTCTATGGCCCCTACTCTGTGTGGAGTGGGTAGGAATTAGTTCTGGGTGAGGCAGAGTCGGGGAGTGGTGACGATTCCGCCAATAAGTCATTACAACAAAACTAGTTTTATCACAATTAGCCATTGACAATGAAGTAGACACAATATATGATTCATAGCAATTGTGCACATATAATAGATACCTGTTGGTTTAAATCTGAGCTCTGGCCTTCCCTTCCCGGCTCCTCTCCTGGACTGGAAGTGCTTGCTCTAATTTCACTGCACACTGGGAGATTCTCACAACGTGCATTAGATGCTTTTTAAAGCCCAGCACAGGGTTCAGCGTAGTTAACCTTCCCCCCTTTGGTCCCCCTTTGGCTATTTTATGCTTACTTTTTTCCAAGTCTTCAGGCTGGTTATGTGAGTCCACTTCATAGCCACTACTTCTCCAGGATGGGCGATCCTTACCGATGCAGACAGAGGCCCCGATGTGATGATGTCAGCGCCACTATCTGCACCATTACACTGTGGTTGTAGAGCACCATGAACCCTGCCTGGGTCTACAATGCCATTCCATGGCCCCTGCCTGGGTCTACGATACCCTTCTATGGCCCCTACCTGGGTCTACGATACCCTTCTATGGCCCCTACCTGGGTCTATGATACACTTCCATGGTCCCTGCCTAGGTCTACGATGCCCTTCTATAGCCCCTGCCTGGGTCTACAATACCCTTCTATAGCCCCTGCCTGGGTCTACAATGCCCTTCCATGGCCCCTGCCTGGGTCTACAATGCCCTTCCATGGTCCCTGCCTAGGTCTACAATGCCCTTCCATGGCCCCTGCCTAGGTCTACAATGCCCTTCCATGGCCCCTGCCTGGGTCTACAATGCCCTTCTATAGCCCCTGCCTGGGTCTACAATGCCCTTCTATAGCCCCTGTCTGGGTTTACAATGCCCTTCCATGGCCCCGCCTGCGTCTACGATACCCTTCCATGGCCCCTGCCTGGGTCTACGATGCACTTCTATGGCCCTGCCTGGGTCTATGATGCCTTTCCATGGCCCCTGCCTGGGTCGACGATGCCCTTCTATGAACACTCTTAGCATGGATATACATGGAAACACAACCTCCCCCCAGGTTTTCATCTGATAGCCCAGATGAGATGGTCTATTATAGAGGGAGAGGTACCTGATGCTCCAGATCTCCTTCTAGTTCCACCAATGGAAAGTCCACACTGTCCTTACTCATGAGCTGGAAAACACACAAATGGCACATAAATATCTGCACTGTATTTAAACCACAAACCATTAAATTCTTTAGGCCACATTCACACTCATGCAGTTGGTTTACCAAAGGAATAAATATATACTGTATATGTATACACACTGATCAGCTATAACATTCTGACCACTGAGAGGTGACGTGAATAACATTGATTATCTGGTTACAATGGCACCTGGAAATGGCATATGATAGGCAGGAAGTCAACATTTTTTCCATGACGTTGATGTGTTGGAAGCAGAAAAAATGGACAAGTGTAAAGATTTGAGCGACTTTGACAAGGGCCAGATTATGCTGGCTAGACGACTGGGTCAGGGCAACTCCAAAACTGCAGCTCTTGTGGGATGTTCCCGGTCTGAAGTGGTCAGGACCGACCAAAATTGGTCCAAGGAAGGAAAATCGGTGAACCGGCGACATGGTCATGGGCAGACAAGGCTCACTGATGCACTTGGGGAGCAAAGGCTGGCCTGTGCAGTCCGATCCAACAGAAGAGTAACTGTAGCTTAAATTGCTGAAAAGTTAAAGCAGAACTCCGGGGAGAAATATTCTTAACCCTTGCGGTAGGGCTCCCCCCGCACTGCAAGGGTTAAGTGTTCATTTTTATCTTGGCTCGAAACAAACAAAGTTATACTCACCCAATTCTGCGAGCTGGCTTGCACTGCAGCAATGTAATGTCCCTCAGCGCCCTCACATCCTATATGCAGTGTATAGAATGTGATGACTCACTGGACCTTGGGCCGCTGCAGCAGTCTAAGATCACAGGGAGTCTAACACTGCCTGGACTTTGGGCAAATGGGATTCCCAGTCTCTACTAAAAATTAACATGTCGTCCAAATACACCGCAACATATTCCTATTGAGATTGTAAAGTCCTATCCATCGCCAACTTCTAACTTCCTTCTGTATGGTTGGGGTACCAACAATTGTTCTACAACGTCTTCCCGTTCTCTTGTGACTCGATAAAGCAAGTCATTATTCACTGCAAAGCAAGGCCACCGCTCATTTGCACCTGGCTCCTGGGGAACGCCATTTATAACAACCACTTGTTCTCTTGTCTGCGTCAAGTTAGGTTCTATATCTGGGCTGTTCCAGAAACCCTCCTGGTCACCTCCAGATCAGGCAGGACAAGAGGTATATTGTCATGCACCAAATTCCTCACCACCCCCACCTCTTGGGTAAAAGAACCATATGTAGTGGAGATTGGCAGGAGGATGAGGGGGTATTCCCTAGCGCCCCCATGAAAACATACAACCCGTAGTCTTGGACAAGTGTAACCATGCTTCTGGAGTCCAGTAAGGCCACGGCGGGGAAGTGATTCACCTGCACCTCACACTCAAATCGCCCCTCACTAAGGTTCAGGGGGGTGGTGCAAGCTTTGTGTGCATAAAAGAACCCCCTCCGGAGAGCCCCACATTCCATGGGCTCCTCCTTTAGCAGACACTGTGTCCGGGTATGGCTCCAGGAGCGGCATCGCAAGCTTTGTACATCTCCTGTTCTCTGAGTAGGGACAGATCTCTGAGGAGCTGAGGAAGATGACATTCTTGGATGCTGATTCCAGGATTCCGTGGGACTTCCTTCTGAAGAGCTGTGGTTGGCTAAGTTGCCCTTGGTGGAATGGGTCCTTGTCGCTTGACAGGGCCAGCAGATCCTCCACCATAGTGTACCTTTCAACCGTCTCTACAAGTTGGTCCACTGTCGTGGGGTCTCTATGGCTGACCCCGAGGTCATCTGGCAGGGACCTAAGGTATCAGTCCAACACAACCCGTTCCACCATCTGGGGACCAGACATTGGTTCTGGCTGCAGCCATTTCTTGACCAGCTGCACCAGGTCATGCATCTGGGACCTTGGCAGCCGTTCTGGATGATATCTCCAGCAGTGAACTCTTTGCGCCCAAACGGCCATAGTCAAACCCTAATCGGGCCAGGATTTCTGCCCTCATAGTTTTTAGCATCACCAGGTGGCAGATCAAAGTAGGCCTTTTGAGGGTCCCCAGTAAGGAAAGGGATGATGAGGCCGGCCCACTGATCTTGGAGGTCATCCCTCTCTTTTGGCTGTCCTCGCTAAGGTGGTAAGGAAAGCCTCTACATCATCACTGGGGGTCAGCTTCTGCAGGTAGTGGCTGGCCCTCATGGTTACCTGGTTCCTAGGAAGAACAGCCGCTTGCTCACACCCCTGCGAAAGTTGCCGCACTGCCTCCTGCAAGGCAGTCATCTGTGTCTGCATGGCTCCTTGCTGGGCTACAAGCTGAACTACCAACAGGTGGGTACTTCCTTGCTGCTGGGCCAGCGCCTCCTCATGACGGGTCTGTGCTCCCTCATGGTGGGTCTAAGCTTGCATATTAGCCAAGGTCAGCTGCTTGATCAGTTCCTCCATTGTTGCAGACTTCAGAGTTTGCACTGTCCCCTTAAATGTCAGTTTTTGACCCAAACACGGTTTCTGCGCCTGTCACTCTGTCCTGCCCGCATTCGAGCACCAGTTGTGAAGTTTGGGGAATTTAACAGTCCGCCTTCCATGGCACAAAGGAAATAAAATAAAAGTCAACTTTCTTCCGCACAAAAGAAAAAATTAAATAATCTCACCAACTTAACCGGCTTGTGCATGTAAGAAGGGGTTTAACAGTCCCAGGATTTTGGAGGGTCTCCCCCAGCCGACAGACTCCCAGCAGGGTTATGAAGTTCCTCAACACAACTGCTTGTCAGACGCCAATCTGTCTACACAACTCCGTACTACTTCTCCTTTGCTCTAGACAGCTTCCGGTCTTTAAAAACCACTTATTTGCCCCTTAAAGGGACCACAACCCAAACATAGGGGGAAACATAGCCCCTTTTCCTTTTCAGGATCCATCCCTGGTGTCCTGTACTATATATATCTATCTATATATATAGATAGATATATATAGATAGATATATATATAATACATATTGGCTGCTTACTTAGCAAAGTGAACTTGCAATTTGCAATGGAGTTTTCACTCAGCTTAGTGAATGTGGTGAAGCTCTGCTGACTTCCATGATCCAAATATGTGCAAGCAAAAAGCCTGTTTTTAAAGTGTTGTTGCATGTGATTGGGTATTCCTTGTAAAGTACCACGCTCACCGCGTTCACTGAGCTGATAGTAACATTCCCTTTGCTAAGTAAACATACTCTAATTGAGTAAATCAATCCCTGTGCCTTGCATTCAAGCAGCATGTATTCGTCTGTTAAAGTCTATCTATACCCAGATTTTTGGGTATAGATAACCCCTCAGGGGATCCAGGGATCCTTTAGAGAGATTTCCTCTCACTTTCTCACCTTTTACTGGAAAGGAAGTTAGGGAAAAATCTGCAACAGGGAAATAGATACCAATTGAAAAACTGACCAAGATTTTAGCATTTCCCTACTTAACTTAGAAAAAGCTATTTTAGTTCCTGTCCAGCGGACTTGATAACATAACCTGAAGAAACTTTGGACTGTAATGTGTGCGGGAACCATAAAGTGACACTAAACTCAGGAGTTAAATCTTAAAAATGCATTTAAGTCCCTTAACTATGAACAACAATGTATCTTATTTGTGTATCACTCGGCTGTAGATCCTCCAATCATCTCTGAATTGGTGCTGACACTGTCCTTCCTTCTTGTGCCCCTACTTGTGTTCCCCATAGTCCCTGTGTGTGTTGTAGAGTAGTCACCATTCCAAGCTCGCTCCTGTGATGGACTATAATCTTAATGTAAGTCAGTAAATTAAACGTGAGATTGTAGTCCATACCGGGAGTGAGCTTGGAGCGGTGACTACTTTACAACACACACAGGAACCATGGGGAAATATTCACTTTTGCTGAAGAGGTTGGTGATGACAGGGACACCGACAGTTTGATTTGGGGCCGATTTAGCAGGAATCAGCTGAAATTCAAGCTATGGGCGGCCAGCTTTACTGTGAAGAAGCCTTTCCGTATGCAAAGATGAAAATCTCTTCTCCCCCAGATGCAAGGCGCCCTCTTGTCCCTGCCAATTATTATAAAGTGAATATCTTTGCACCAAGTTCACTATGTGGGCCATATAGTGAACCTGGTCTTCATCTATAGGCAACCTCGGCATTCCAGCTGTGGTAAAACAACATATGCCATCATGACTATGCCTCTGGGAGTCATGCCTGTGGCTCAGAATCTTGCAATGCCTTATAGTTCCACAACAGCTGCAGTGCCTAGGTTGCCTTCCCCTGATCTACATATTCGTTCTTGGTCAGAGACTTGGAAAGCATTAAAGCCAAGGCATCAACATGACAGCCATGGAACTAACATCCTCAGCTGAGAGGTCAGCAATGGCAGCCCCCATAATTCCCGTATAACACAATGCCTACAGCATCCCAGCACTGCACTATGGCAGCCAAAGCTGTCATAATGGCCAATGTGCCAAAGACGTGCCGATGTTGTGTCACCCCAGAGCCCTAACTCTTCAAACCAATGAATCCCCCCACCCAACTCTTCAGTGACTGCAGGGCCGGAGGTGGGATCTCCAGTTCCTACATTCTTCTGAGTCTGCAGGGTGTGAAATGTATTTGGATGTTTACAAGTGTACACCTCTATAAACCTAATTCTGAATATGAGGCAACCAAACACACTAATAAATCTATTTGTGACTCATTACAAATACACGGAAATTCCTCTGTAAGACGGCTGTCATATGCCACACCCAGACAGAAAACTATCTATGCAATCATTTCTCTCTATAGACTTATTAGGATTCTCTCTTGGCATGATGACTCGGTGGAGGGTCACCTAAGAGGAAAGACTACTTTCCCTAAATCTGAGGATTGATAGTCATCTCTTCACTTTGTGTTTTCTTTTCAGAATTCTAAACCACATGACACTAAATACAGGGAGGGAGTTGAATTCTGCCTTCACAGTAGTCAAAGTCATCTTTTCTTCTGGACATACATAGGAGAGCAGTAGAACTATGCAAGTTCTATGCATCGTGTGACCCCCCAGGAGGTCATCTTTGCAACAGTACCAAAGTACCACCAAAACCAAGGGGAGGGCCCCAACACAGTGTGTGTCTCATGGCCAGGAGCACTTAAAATCACCCCCAAACATGGCTCTCTTCCTGCAGGAATATTACAAGGATCCTTGCTCAGTTGTCACAAGGGCGAGCCAAGCATACATGATTTTGGTGGTACTTTGGTATTGGTGCAAAGATGACCTCCAGGGGTCACACGACGCATAGAACTTGCATAGTCCTACTTCTCTCCTTTGTATGTTCAGAAGTAAAGATGGCTTAGGCATAGCACATGGCATAAGGAGACACAGTTCAAGTTCCATCCGGGAGCACGCACGCAAAGGTGGCTCCATAGGACCCTGCAAGGGATACAGGAAGACCTGAACTTGCTTATTATTAAATGAGCCTTAAATATCAATTTAAGGAATAAGCTGAACTGACTATTTTACCCGGTGTTCCGTCTCACTCTAAATCCAACTTGTTACAGAATAAATCAGTGGCCGCTTACCTCCTGAATGGCAGTCATTACCACATGCTGTACGGACTCTTCCAGGGTCATGATGATCTGGATGTGTTCTGCAAATAATGGAACAAAGGAGTGACAACTGGAGCGCAACGGTAACTAAGAACAATTCCTTAAAGGGTCACTCCAACCCACTGCCCAGCTGTTGTAAAATAAAACAGCAGCTTTGTGCAATGCTCACCCCCTCTCCGGCACTGGACATGAGGAACGGTGGTCCTGAGCTGGTCTTCCTCCAGGTTGAATGACAACCAATGCCATACAACCAATGCCATATACTAAAACGATATTCGGGCATATAAAAAATTTGTTATCAGAACGCTTGGAGGCCACATTGGCCGCTGGTGCGTTCTGCGCATGCCCGCCACCATCTTGGAGGCGGGTTGCATAACGTCACACGACTCCTCATCATGGTTGACGTTATGCACAGAACGAGCAGTGGCCAGATCGGCCGCCATCTGTTCTGCGCATGCACGCCGTGATTTTGGAGTATACCTTGGTATACACCGTGATGGCAACGTCCATATATTCTTGGTGTATACCAAGATATACTCCAAAATGCGGCAATCATGCGCAGAACGCGGGCCCGCTGGTCAATTAGGCAGCAGGGTGTATATAGCGTGTAGCAGCCCACTAGATGCTGATTTGGGGTCACAGAAGGACATTAATAAATATTCTACTTTGACCCAAAAGAGGACTAAAGCCAAAAAAAAAAATAGTTTGGCTTTAGTTCTCTTTTAAGTCCTTAAAAATGATTTTATAGATAATAAGTTCCCCCGAATGAGTTAACTAAAACCCGGAACAGCAAACCGTATTTTTTTATTATGAAAAATCATTGAATGTTCAGATTGTCGGCTAATCAGGGAACGGCAACGCCATCAGCGGGAAAAGAGGAACTTCCTTCCACGTTGATAAGTTTCAGTCAAAGGTCATAAACACAATAAAAATCTCAGAGAAGATTCATGGAAGGAATAGAATGGGAATGTTTCTCCTCTGTGATTGGTCCAATGTCACTGCCATGGGTTCCGTCCTTACCTTGTTTCTTCTCGCAGTTAATGGCGCACCCCAGAATGAGCTGTATCAGTCGCCCCATTTCCGTCGGGTCCGAATGTTCCGCAATCTGGTTGAGGTCGGGGAGGAACTCCGAGATTTGCTGGTCCAGAACCTGGGAACATTGTACACTTAGATTAGGGGAATTAAAAGGGGACTGCTGGGGATCAATATGATTTCTGGGGTTCCCTAACTCTGGCCTTCCCTTCAGTCTTCTATCTGACCCCCAGCCTTCCCTTCAGTCTTCTATCTGACCTCCGTCCTTCCCTTCAGTCTTCTATCTGACCCCCAGCCTTCCCTTCAGTCTTCTATCTGACCTCCGTCCTTCCCTTCAGTCTTCTATCTGACCTCCGTCCTCCCCTTCAGTTTTATATCTGACCTCCGTCCTCCCCTTCAGTCTTCTATCTGACCTCCGTCCTTCCCTTCAGTCTTGCACTCCTCCCCTTCAGTCTTCTATCTGACCTCCGTCCTTCCCTTCAGTCTTCTATCTGACCTCCGTCCTCCCCTTCAGTTTTATATCTGACCTCCGTCCTCCCCTTCAGTCTTCTATCTGACCTCCGTCCTTCCCTTCAGTCTTGCACAGTTGTACCGGCTCCTCTCCTGGACTGAAATGGCTTCCTCTGATTTCACGGCACACTGCGCGCTTCTCACAATATGCATTAGACGCTGCAACAAGTCAGATAGAGCCCGCCTCATTTCCTGGCTGGAGGACATCCAGCATCATCTAGTACTTTTCTCCCCAGCCTGACCGTCCCTAGCCCCGCCCCTTTCATTCTTTGGACTTCAATTTTTTCAATCATGGAGGCTCGGCGTCACATGTGGATGTTACCTAGGGCTGTCTGTATGCAAATGCTGCCTGTCTAGGAACACCCACTCCTGCACACTGACATCCACCCATCAAGGCATTCTGATATTTACATAACTGCTCCCAAGAGCCCGCCCACTGCTTGCATCAGGGCTGAGGGTTCTTAAGAGAAGTACCGAGGCAGGGTGCTGTGATGTTTTAAGGAAGCTAGGCCCCTGCCGGCCCCTCCCACCAGCCATGATCTGCCTGCGTTGCACAGAGAAGCACAGGTTTAATTTAAACATTTCATTAGCATGTTAATGGAGGGGGGAGTCCTGCCGATTCAGCCTAAATCCAAACAGTGTGGCCCCTTCCTGGCACCCCTCCATTTAACAAAACTTGATTGTTAATCAACATTTGTTGAAGGAGCCCATCTGAAAATTCTTGACTGAGCAGACACAGCAGCCAATCAGGTATTTTGACAGCGTGGATTGGGAAATTGAGCTTTTGAGAAACCGCATAGTACATGGCCAGCCTACGATCACAGAAAGATCTCCTATAGGCTGCTGTGGGTGGTGACCCTTTGCTGGGCCACTGGCCGGGGTTGTACAGGCCGTCCTCCTGTACTGTGCCCTTGCTCCATAGGGTCAGGCAGAGGGCCCAGACCTGTCAGGAATTATGTCCAGACACTAGCACAGTGAGTCATAGTGGCTCTGTGTGACGGAGCGTGCATGTGAGCGCTCTGGGGGACGCGGAAAGACAGAAAAGCAGACCACGGCAGTGATGTGGCTGATAGTTTTCCACTACACAGGCTCCTCCCCTCTGCAGTCTATTATGAATGCAGCTGCTAGACTCATCCACCTGACCAACCGCTCAGTGTCTGCAACCCCTCTCTGCCCATCCCTCCACTGGCTTCCATCCCCCCCTGCTAATCCCTGCACTGGCCTCCATCCCCCACCCCCTTTTAATTCAAAATATTAACAACCACTTACAAAGCCGTCCACAACTCCGCCCCCGGCTATATCTAAAACCTGGTCTCAAAGTATCACCCTAACCGTCCCCTCGGCTCTTCACAAGACCTCCTGCTTTCCAGTTCCCTCATAACTCCTCCCATGCTCGCCTCCAGGATTTCTCTAGAGCCTCTCCCATCCTATGGAACTCTTTACCCCAACCTGTCCTTCTATCTCCCACTCTGCCTCAAGGCGTTCCCTAAAAAGACTCATCTCTTCAGGGAAGCCTATCCCACCTCAACCTAACCACTGAACTAACACTTTCTCAAACAATTCCTCCCCACAGAGGTACCTCCTCATGTATCACTGGCCCCTCCCTTTTAGATTGTAACCCCTCAGGGGCAGGGCCCTCCTTACCATCTTGTCTTGAATTGTATTGTAATTGTAATGTCTTCCTTATATTATAAAGCGCTGCGCAAACTGTTGGCGCTATATAAATCCTGTATAATAATAATAATGTCAATGTCCACACAATTGCCACTAATCTACTCTCCTGTGCTTCCAAGTCCTGCACCGGCAGTCATACAGAGCACGGGGGTGGAGAAAGCCGGGGCCAGTCAGGTTGTATGGGGCCCCGTGATTTTTAATGGCAGCCCTGGCCCTTCAGCTCCCACGTCTAGCCCAGCACGTGTCCCGTCTTACCTCTTTGTAATAATCCCCAATCCCCTGGAGGATCTTCTTTAGATTGTTGATCTAAGCAAACGAGGAGAAGATTAAAGTCAAACACGGAATTAGTGGACGTCCGATACAGCGTATTACAAGATCCATATCACTCAGAACAAACAGTCCGTTTATAACAGTTCCCGGCTCCGCACACAAGTCGTGTTTATGGCAAATATTTGCATGTGTTTCAGATTCATTCAAATGGGCCGCTGTCATAACATGGCCGCCCCGCGTGAATGGTGCTGAGAGACGGGAGAGACAAAGGCCGAGATTCAGGAGCAGACAATGGCGCCCTGCAATGAGCAGCGCCTGAAGGGAATGTGTAGACCTTATGATGAGTTTTAGATGTCCACATAAAAGAGATCAGCTGGATGCATCAATGTGCTTCATTGCACTTGCTTCTGTCTGGTTTGTAATCATAGCTGTACAGAAGAACGGCCATATTGGATCATTCCATACACAGGCTCTTCTTCCTGCTCCTTCTGACAATGCAAGTCAATGAGTCATCCTGACCCATTCTAAAACAATGCACTCCCTATGCGGCAGCCATACAGGATCATTCCATACACAGGTTCTGCTGTGGCTGCGCTTTACTGCTCCTTTGTACAATGCAAGTCTATGAGTAGTCTGACCCATTCTAAAACAATGCACTCCCTGTGCGGCCACCATATGGGATCATTCAATACACAGTCTCTGCTTCCTGCTCTGCTGTGGATGTGCTTTACTGCACCTTTATACAATGCAAGTCTATGAGTAGCCTGACCCATTCTAAAACAATACACTCCCTGTGCGGCAGGCATACAGGATCATTCCATACACAGGCTCTGTTTCCTGCTCTCCAGTGGCTGTGCTTTACTGCTCCTAGATTTATATTACATAACTTCCAGTCCCATACCTGTCATTGCTCAGCTCCTGAAGCCCAGCAATAAGCTATTGAAGTGTGATCTGCACTTCAAGTGCTTTTTTAAAGTGTAAATGTGACACTAGGGGTCTTTGGACCCCCAGTATCACTTTAAAAGAGGACCTGTCACTGCCAATATGCTATCAGTCAAACCGAAGGGCTGCTGTACGGGCTATTCACTATAGCCAGTACGGCTCCCGCAGGCGGCTGAGCGGCTCAGCTGAGCCGAAGGCATACGCTTCAGCTCGACTGAGCCAAAGTGACAGCTGAAGGCCGGCTGTTCACCTCGCAAATGACAGCTGGGCGGAGCCAGATGTGATCTCAAGGCTGGCTCCGCCCAGTTGTAATGACAGATCAGCATCCCCAAATGACCTGGGGACGCTGATCTGTCATTAAACAACAACAACTGGGCGGAGCCGGCCGTGACGTCGCGGCCAGCTCCGCCCAGTTGTTATTCATTGTCCGTCCCGGACAAGACTCTGGCAGGTGCCGGCCAATAGTAAACAGTTGGGCGGAGCTAGCTGTCACTGCCCAATTGCTTTTTTTTTTTGTTTTTTTAATTATTATTTTTTTTTTTCCCAATGTATTATTAATTTACATTTTTAAACATTTTTTTCAACTTTTTGCTATTCTGCCTCGGTACCACGGAGGTACCGAGCAGAATAGCCGAGCCGAATGCCGCTCGGTGGCATTTGGCTATTCACTTACTGCCATTTGGCCCCTTTGAGAATAGGGCCGAACAGCTGCGAGTGAGCTGCAGAGCATGTTTGGCTGACCGAAAGCCGATGTACGGCTGAAATCAGCCGCACTGAGCCGTAGTGAATAGTCGAACGTTGTTCGGCTCACTTCACTACGGCTCGGTTATTCACTCGGCTGCCTTCGGCAGCTTTGTGAATGACTCTTTTAATGTTTGGGGTTTGATAATAAGTGGCGCTAATGTCGTGCAACACATACAAATTTGCAACTGACACCATGTTATTCTACAGGTTCTTGGCTTTCAGAAAATAGATCATGTTTTGGGGTTTGAAGTAGTTTTCAGGCCTATAACATGGCCTCGGTCATTAAGGGCTTCATGTCAACTTTAAATCAATTCACATCTTCCTCTATATAAACTGTAAAAAGTAGGGATGCACCTATATATCGGCCGCCGAAACATATCGGCCGAAAATGGCACTTTTAGCTTAATGCCGAAAGTGCCATTTTCCTGCCGATACATCGGCGCATGCGTGCTTTCTTTCCTCCCCACTGGGCGCTGCTCTGTGTCCCAGCGCGGAGGTGAGAAAGTGACAGCCGGCCGAGCGCTGCGGGAGGAGAGCGCTGTGAGCAGCCGGTGTCTCCTCCCACACCGCTCAGCTGCCTATCACAGTCCGGCAGATCGGTGAGGGGGCGGAGACAGCCCGTGCTGTCACAGGAGGCTGAGATCTCCTCCCTAAACCGCTCACTCAGCCTCCTGTGACAGCGCGAGTCAGAGAGGAGAGCGGGTACAAGCAGTCGGTGATCAGTGATCGCTGAGTGTTTGTAAATAATTGAGGACCTGGTATGTGGACTATATCCTTAATTATAAATGAATGGGAAGATCTACATCCCCTCCTGTTCATTCATGATTGTAGTTATTAGGGCTGGTAATGATTAAAATTTTCGTGTTCGATTAATCGATTAAAAAAATTTTCTATTTAGACCCCTAATATTTCCCCAAAGCCCCTAAAAAGTAAAAAATAAAAATATTTAATAAAAATGAATGAATAAATAAAAATAAATATAAAAAAAATTAAAAAGTTTAAAAACAAATAAATAAAATATTTGAAAAATTTAAAAAAATTAAAATAAAAAAAATTTCGGTTTCGGCCTGACAATTTTTTTTATTTCGGTTTTTAAATTTCTATTTTGGTGCACCTCTAGTAAAAAGACAATCATCTATTTTTAATGTTCAGAATTGTATCAGTTCAGGGAGAAGCCGACAATGACAGCTACCTTTATCCTTCGATTATCACCGACGTCGTCTTTAATGCGTCCCAGCCAAGACTCGTTAAACCAAGAGCCGTCTCTACGTTGGGTGAGAGAAGACAAGTCAGCCTCATACATCACTGTGACTGATACATTTATAGACAGAAGAACAAAGAAACTCCATGGGACGTAACAGGTATAAAAGTCCAACTATTACTTTGTACTATTTTATTGATGGATCACCAGAAACAAAGTAAAAAGTTTAACTTGTATTTAGTAATCAACAAAACCTTCCCCTCAAACCCATCACACACATAAACATAATAACAGTCCGGGTAATAAAGTGTATCCATTAGTTCTTAATAAACAATATCACTGTGTGTAAACAATGACAGCGAGATGATGAATTCTCAACTCCCAGACAACTAGAACATTAAGCACTTAAAGGAGAACTATGGGGTTAAGGCTTTTCCCCATATTTCTCCTTAGGGTAACGGGAGGACAAAAACTAGCGTCCTCCCGTCACCCTAGGCTCAGTATATAGGGAGCTGTAGCTCGCGGTATACTGAGACGCCGCAGCCGGAGCATAATTGTCCTTCAAGTGATGATAATGATTTTAATATATGGATTTGATTGATACTAGTATCGGAATCGGTGCCGATGCCAAGTATTCCGGTGAGTACTCGGCCCAAATGCTCCGATGCCTAGCCCGATACTTGAGCTTCTGGTATCAGGAAGTCGGGCAGCGTGTCATGACTCGCCGCCTAGCTTCCTGATTGGTCGGGAAGCTGGCCAATCAGGAAGTCAGACAGCGAGTCATTACACGGCACCCGGCTTCCTGATTGGCCAGAAAGCCGGCTACATGCTTTCTCGTCACCTGGTGACGAGGGAGCATGGAGACGGCTTCCCTGCTCATCGGGAAGCCGGGTGGCGAGTCTTTACACGCTGCCCGGCTTTCTGGCTAATCAGCAAGTCAGGTGGCGAGCCATTACACGCCGCCTGGCTTCCTTAATGGGACTTCCGGTATTGGTATTCGGTATCGGTGAGTACCAAAAAAAAAAAATATCGGTACTCGATAAAATAATTAATTGATACAATGCTATACACGTAAGCATATGCCTTTCAAACAATGTAAATGTGCAAAACAGTGATGGGGAGATGATCAAACTGACACGTTTCATGAACCAAGGGTCCACTTCATCAGGAAAACGTCGGAGGGAATTATCTCCAGACATACAAATACGCTGTGATAGCAGACATCCAGATACCTGTAGGCATATGCTAATTCTCATCCTTTATATAGAAGTGATACACCTGTGTGTCTGCCATCACAACATATTTTATAATTGAAGTTCAATCACTTGTTTTCCTGATGAAGTAGACCCTTGGTTCATGAAACGCGTCGGTATTCATTGTTTCCCAATCACTATTTTGCACATTGCTTATCGGGAATACTCTCACATGTATAGCATTGTATTAATCTATTTCATATATTAAAATCATTATCACCACTTATGTGCACAATGTTTTGGTTGTCTGGGAGGAAAGCATCGATAATTCATCATCTCACCGTCATTGTTTATACATAGTGACATGGTTTATTAGGACATAACGGATATACTTTATTGATTACCTGGACTATTATTTATATGTTATGTGTATGATGGGTATGAGGTGGAGGTGTTGAAGCTGATTTATAAATCTCCACCTCAGTATACAGCTGGGTGATTGCAGTGCTCACAGAGCTACCCCCACTAGGTGGCGCTGCGGTACATAGACATTTCCTATGCTCCTCGGCTCCATCTAGTGGCGGTAGGGATGTGCAAACAGCATTTGACCAGCTATATGCTGTACTATTTATGGACAATTCCCCTGACATTTGCTCCATGGAGGGCAGGGTAGGTGGAACATAAGCCCCCACTCGCCCGCACCCTCTCCTGGGCACCAAAGAGTCCTATGCCATTAACAACAGGGCAGTAGTAGTTTGATGAT